CCACAATAAAGTCCTTCTTTCTTTCTGTTTTTTCACCCACTTTTGTGTGTTTTGTATCTATTCTTTTATGTCGGCTGTCTGGCCAACAGCGACATCCATCTGCCCTTCCCTCCACTCCTTGAGTGGCCAGATAGCTGTCACAGCTGCCAGGGCTGCAAGTCCCCTCTAACAACGGTTCAGGCCTGGGCAAAAACTGCATCTTTGATCTGTAGGGAAGTCCCATAACTGCTCCAACCCTTCTTTTAAAGCACAGACAAAGCAATATCAAATATGTGAAGCAGCAGTAACATCTGTTTCTTTTCAAATAAAAAAATGAATTCTGCGTAGGACTTACTGTAAACTTCTCTTACTTTTTAGTCACTCTCTCCTACTACTCCTGTTTATTTTTCTGGAACTSTAGTATTTTCCAAAAGGCCAGGGTTGTCTCTCTGTTAGAGCACAGGAATGAAGTCAGATTTCCAGGGTCTATTTCTGACTTTGCCAATGAGCCACAAGGTAGTAATGGATTAAAACAGATAGTTTCAAATCCTACACTTGGAAGTCAATAGTTCCCTCTAATTGCATTTACTTAGTATCAGAGTAACCGAGTTGGGAGAATCTACTTTCTTCTAGAAAGTCTCTTTTCCAGTTATCAGTGGTACTCACCAGGTCCAGCCATGCTTATTTGACATGGAGTACTTTTCCATTATAGCAGTGAGACGAAGCAGAGAGAATTTTTGCAGTAGATTCAGCTGTGCTGCTGACTGGTTGCTGATGTGAAGTGATGCAATGGAGCGGCTCAGGCAATGAGAGATTTGGAAACTATGCCATCGTAATTGCCTTCAGCAGAAGAAACGATAGAAAAAACAGAGAACTACTTTAGTTGGGCAGAAAAGATGGAATACTGTGAGATAGGGCTGGGCAATACATAAAATATACACAAACACACACATATGTGAYGGCTTAGGGTGTGTGAGCTGAAAGAAAATGTACCTTGGAGATAAATAAAAYGATTAAGTAAATCTCTTTAATTTTGGAAATGCCTGAATTTTGTATTTTTAACAATAAATTCACAAGTGGGTGTGGGCCCAGTCCATACACTTGGCGAAGCAGCACTGCCTGCTATGCCCTTTAGCCCACACACTTCCAACAGGATGTGGTAGATTTAGATTCAAATACTCTTTGCCTGATTCAGAACTGGTATTTGATTCCTAGCCCCTCACCTCCCCAGGGACTGACCTGACCACTGAGATATTTGGAGATGAGGTTCTCCAAATATCTCTGTTATTAAATGCTGAAGGATTTTCTTGAAAAAGGATTAAACCCTATGTCTCTTAGCCAGAGCTAAAGTCACCAAACTGTTGAACCACCCACATCTTTTTACTCCAATGCACTTTCTCTATCTATTGGATTCATCATGAAAAAAAACGCTGATTTCATTTGCTCATTTCACTAAACGTAAGTTCTAGCTCAAATCCTAAAAATGTTGCCACTGTTTGTTTACTCAACAGTTTCCTCAAGTTCACTTTCAGTTTTGTGGTGGTAGTGAGCAAGCACAGGCAGCAGCAAACCATGGCATGGCAGAGTCCTCTGTGAGGGTACGACGAGACTGACAGCAGATCAGAAAATACCAGTATTATCAAAAATACCAGCATCAGAAAATACCAGATGTATTCTCTCTGCTTTTGCACTTACAAAGCCACTCTACACACAACAGTTTGGATCCACAGAAGCTTTTACCCAGGACTATCAGGATCTGGCTCAATCGGAGCTCATCACTCTGACCTAAAACAGATCTGCTAATTATTAACAAAATCCTACTTTTCACTTTATTAAGAAGTCAGTTTTTGACCACCCTTTCATCCCACCATGAAAGGGGCTGAGCCAGAGTAGGGAAGTTCTCTTTGAGCATAAAGGGGCACATTTTTAAAGCAGGCATTAAAAAAGTGCATAAAGCTACAGATGCATAAAGACCTGGATGCATAACTTAGAAGAAAATTTGAAAATAAATCCCACAACATATACAGGCTCCTACTATGTAATGATTGGATCAAGGGATAAAAAATGCTTTAGTTTGCTCTATTAAATCAGTTCTGCACTGATTCCATGTAAGAACATCCACAGCAGGATGTCCCTTCTCTCAAAGTCTCAACTTCCCTGGGAAGTCCCCATCTCCATACAGGATAAGTACAACCAAATGGCACCTGTGCCCTTTTGACTCCCAGGCTGAGAACCTCTGCTTTATTATATTGTATTTCACAGTCTGTGGATTTGTATACAAAATTTTGCTACTTACCTGCTTGGCCTCGTGAGCGATGCTCCCACCCCAGAGTCTCTCCTGTCCCTAACACCAGTGGCTTCAGATTCATTGAGGGATGTTCCATCTCTGTCCATGTCGCTCGGGGTGGTCTGGCCATCAGACATGGAGTTTCCTTCAACATCCAGAGTGATCTGTGTAGGTGACGGGAAAGGCAATGATTGTGATTCCCTTACTGACACATCATTGACCGGCAGACCTGGCAACACCTTCTTTGACCAGCCATCCACCACCTCCTGAAGTCCATTGACGTGCTGCAAAATGTCGTCTAACTGAGGGAAAAGGACATCTTTCTCTATGTCCAGGAGGTCCCCAGTACTAGCATACAAGTGGGAACCTGGGACGTTGTCATAAATACTAATTCTGCTCTCTTTAGGGCAGCAAGCCATCAGTCCAGATTCCTTTGGAGTAGAGCAGTTCTGCTTTCCCAAAGAGATGCTGCCTGTCCTCCAGTTTACATTGTTACTATTGTCTGTAGGTGAGAGGCTTTCGATAGAAAGTGCCTTTGGGAAGGTCCCTGGTTTGTGATCTTTAGGAATGTGCACAACCAAGTTCTCTTGGGAATGAAATTCATTTTTGCTGTCTTGGTCCACCACTTGCCATAAGGCYGTTCCTGCCAGAACGTCCAGGTCCTCTAGGTACATCCCACCTCTCTTGTTTGCTTCATGGCATTTGCGTTCCTTCAAACACGGCGTGCTCACCCCACTGATGCTGTTTCCTGATTGACTGCTCTCACTGCTGGATTTGGCAGAAAAGGGAAGTCCTCTTTTCACTGAATCTTGTCCCAGATTTTGGAGATCGCCATTGACTATCTGTACACAGTGCATGTCTTTCAAGGATTTCGGCTCAAACTGGAGAACCGGCCCACTGATCTCTAAAGGACCTGCTCTTCCCAAGCCYTTTACTTTTCCATGCACAGCTTTTGCTTTTAGTGTCTCCATGCATTTCAGAAAGGTTTTTGCTCTGGCTCGTGGTGGATTTTCACTCTTCAGGCCATTCTTGGGGGGCAGGGCAGTGTTTGTTGCAGCCAAGTCCTGCAGCAGGGTGCTTTCCACATCGTGGTGGCCAGAGCAGTCGCAGGCGTCCCTGGCAGCGCTGGTGGTGCCGGACTGACTCCTGCTGTCACTGCCCCCGCTGCTCTCACTGTGAATTGATGAGACCTCAGGTTCGCTCAGATCTGTAAGGATGCTCTCACGGCTTGTTGTATTCTTCATTTTAATGTCCCCAGAAGAGCCATGTCTGTCTGATCGGTGAAGCAAAGCATCAATGTCGTCCACCCGAGACCATCGTCTACTGGTTCTTTGGAAAGTCCATTTATTACTGATAGCACAGAGTTCTTCTTCATCTGAATCTTCACTCTGCAAAAAAAGCAGGTGGCACATGTCAAAATTGGGTGCTTTAGCTTGTTATATGAATTAATGTGATTGGATTGTTCCATGTGAGCAACAGTCTTTCTGAACCAAGTTTATGAAAGACTGGTCATTAGTCCTTTCATAACACCCTCTTTCACTTAATTGAAAAGACTGCAAAAATTTTAACAAGAAAGGAATTAAATATTGCCCCATGTTAGGAGTCCCATTTGATAGCCCTTGGCTTCCATTGATTGCCTGCGCACTGAATTGTGCAGGACCGAGGCCCACAGTGACTGTTTAGAAAAAAATTGTTTTGAACACTCCGAGTAAAGGAATCCTGTTTTGCAGGATGGTGTTAAAATATACATGGAAAAGACAGGGAAGTAGTTGGGTACTAAGCAATGTGAGCTATTTAAAAAACAAGACAGCAAATATCTGGTTCTGCATGTAGTTTTGCAGTGAGAACTAAATAAACATCTATAAACTTCATGGACCAGATACATCTAACAAGATTTATGTTTCAGAAATATAACAACAGATAAATGCCCATGATGCTTAAAAAAACAATTAAAAAAGCAATATTTGGCAGTATTGCTCAGGCTGTGTCTGAGTGCACTTGAAGGAAGTCAGAGCAGGCAGCCATGGGGCTGTGGGCAGGAGGAGCAGCCAGGCTCAGGCCAGGATGGGGCAGCATCTGCAGATGAGATGAACTTTCCTACAGTGACAAACACTGTCTTCACTGCTGCTGTCATAAGAGGCACCCCTGCAGCCTGTCTTGATGACCTGCAGCCTGTCCCACTGTGTCTGCCCTTCCAGGTCACATCCCTCAGCCTGAGGAAGAGCTGTGCTTATGTTTAGGCAGCTCCAGGAGTTCCTCTGCTCTGCAATGCAGAGAACGTGTGCACTGGAAAAAAAATTAGATAAAAATCCCTCACCCTATGGCATTTTTCTCATCTGTTTGCTCAAACACAAAAGATACATCCTTYAGCATGAAGCCCACAGCTGCTGACGAGTACCCTTCCCTTGACTTTGAACTGGGTTCATACTGCATTATTCTTGTACATTTGTTTTAAAGCAGAATAAACTAGCTTCACCTACATGACATCCAAACAGCTTTTCACATTCTTGGAAGCAGTATGAAGGCAGTAAAATATGACAGGCTGTCAGACTAAAATGAGGTGCTAAACCAGAAAGACTATCTTGGGACTGGAAAAATTCTCATAAGTCTATTATTAGAAGTATTTTTATATGAAGTTTCGATGGTAAAGTTACCTCCAATCTCTGACTAGATCTTTGCTGGCCCGTCTAATTGAAAAATGTAAACCAAATTTTACAAGAGTGCACAAAACCTTAAATAATGTGAAACCTCAAAAGCTGGAGATTGGGATCAGTAGTGTGCCAGGTCTTACTGATGCCATAAACTTTTGTCATTTTATCTCTTTAAGTTAGCCAGATGTTTTAGATCATGTCCTAACAAAAAAAAAAAAAAAAAACAAAAAACAAACCCACAACAAAAAAAAACAGAGCTGTGAAATTTTGGGTTTAGGCATTCCTCTTTCTTCTGTTAACGTTGAGGTGTGCAGGGCTCCTGCAGCTGATGGGAGTTTACAGGAATGAATGGAGATCTTCATTCTGTGACTTGTTAGAGAGAAAAATTGTACACCTAGTGATGTATGAGGGGCTAGAAAAGGCTGAAACTGCTTGGGCCATTTTGTCTGTGGGGAAGAAGTGGCAYATCAGACAACTTTACACTTGTTTAAGCTCCACAACTTGCTGTATGCAAATATGGACCAAAGGACTTCACAGCCTCAGGAACTTAAAAATCCATTTATTGTGGTCTTAGTAGCGCCGCAAAGTGGATATTTTAAAAACCACTAGAGTATGTACTTCTAAATATTTAGAAGTGGTAATTATATCTACAAAGCATACCACTGCTGAAGCATTGGTGGCACAGCCAGCAGGATAAAAATATTTTTAAAATTTGTTCTACATTGCAATATGCCAAAGGGGTCTTAAAGAAGATTCTTGGCTGACACAAATCCCTGTAGCTGCACTGACATTACTGAACTGACAGGATTTAGCCTGCGTTTTCTACAAGCTGGAATAAATTAAAGTAGCCAAAGTRGTAGAGACAGTGCAAAAAAAAACCCAAGAAGAGAGCACAGAGCAGAAGACAGAAATAAAAATAAATTCACTCATAAATATACTTTAAATAAAAAGTTTTGTTTGGCTTTTTTTGGTTGTTGTTTCTTTTGTTTTTTTTGTTTGGTTTTTTTTGTTTGGTTTTTTTTTCTTACAAAGCAGAGATGAACAGAAATGGATATCAGTTAGTAAACAAGTTTTGTCTCTAACCACAGCAAAGACAGGGTTACATTCTGCCCAAGAATTGCTTAGAAAATACAGAGGCTTTTCAGTGTCAAAATTTACAGCTCAGTTAAAGAAAGGCTTAGTTTTGGGGCTTTTTAATTGATAAAGAAGCATGCTTGTGTTTCATCAGAAGCAAAATCAGGCAAATATGTAATGAAATATTGGGATGCTGAAATACTGCCATGGTGACTCACTACGAATTCAGCTGTACTGTGAGTCCTGTGACATACTCTGCTTTTATTTTGATGGAATCAGTAGAAATTCTGTAAGCCACGAACATCCTGAATGACCCACTGTTTTTGTCAGATATCTGAGTGCCCTGATTAAAAAAAAAAAAAAAAAACTGTCCAAAAGAAAATGTTCAGAGCACTAAGCCAACCCACAAATCACCAGCTATGGGAAGAGTGGATCAAGAGAAGGTCTGAAAGCAATGATTCATCTGACACAGGCAGAGCAGACATTTTGGAGCAGTGACTGTGTATTTCTACTGACCTGGGGTGAAATCAAGTGCACAGCTTTGGAGCATATTCAAAAGTCCTGTTAATACCATTGTGTTTGGGAAGATGAGAAGGRACAAGTTTCTTGAGGAGTGACTGGTAACGTTTGCCAAAGAGAAAGAGGTTTTGATTCACAGATTTGTCACAGTCAATTTAAAATAGTACAGCTTTTTCACTCTGGGTGTACTTGCCTGAGATACAGAGGGATGCTAACAAAAGGCAAATAGTGGATTTATTTCTGGTGGAATTCTGCCACATTTTTCCAGCTGGGGGCAGGAATTCTTATAAATCGACAGCTGCAGAAGGCAGTTAATCCAAAGGCTAATCTCTGTCTGTCCAAATCGCTTACAGACATATTTGCAACACATACATGAGGATTTATGTTTGCATCTTGACGAAGCCAAGAGAAGACAGCAGCCCACAGTGGGAATGGTCTGGGTGGGAGACTGGGCAGTGGACAACACTCACACCATGCTGGCTTTCACAGTAACCTTGCCTGGCAGCTTGCTTGGCCATATTTTGATTAATCACTCCCTCCAGCAGCTGTGCTAATCCTGTGCATACCTGTTCTGCTGAAGATCCAAAAAAGGCTAATTTTGCATTTCACAGTTCAGATCACCATACAGACTATTAGGAAAGGCACAATCTACAGCAAAAGGTTTATTTTGTTCAGTGATCAATTTCAGACCCAGTTTCTGGCTTTTACACTTGCATTTGCATTCCCTTCTCTCACCCACATTTTCTTCTGCTTTCAGTTGCTCTGTATCTGTGGACTTAAATCTCTTCCAACTCCTCTTTCTCTATTTTCTTCTGTGCCTATGGACCATTTTTCTGTGCAGGTATGGACCCAACTATCTTCTCTCCCCTTGAAAGAATACCAAGTAGAACCATCTCTCTTCCATCACAAATTAATGGCCATCTGCAAGGATGGACTGAGGACTTCAATCCATTCAGAACAGGGACAAGTGGCACCGAAAAATTAGTGAGAAACAAACATAACAAAAAAAAAAAATCCTCCCTTTCTAACACARCATAAAGCCCAAAACAAGAAAAAGCCCTGATGCAGTTAAGTCACTGCAGCTCCAGAGTGTGGACAAAAGACAAGCTGAAGAGCTTAGTACACAGAGGAGAAGGTGGGCATGTGGAGAAGGAAAAAAGGCAGGACATCTGGACATTGAAAGCATCCTCTGTTCAAGTTCCCCAAACACTAAATCGAGTATGATGAGACTGAATTTTCAAAGACACAAAAATGCAGCTCTCAAAGGCAGTTTTCAAAATGCACCAGACAAACACTCTAGGAAGGAAAAACAGAAACCAAAATTTCTCAGTTGACAACTACTATGGCACAACACTCAAGGACTTTGGGGAATTTGTGACCAGAAAATCAAACGTTCAACAATTAATGCTGGACATGTTACAAAACTCTCAAAATCAACAGGCAGTTCCTGCAGTCTTCACTGAAACCCTTTAAGCTCAAATAATCCCCATGTTACACCGGAGCTTGTAAGGATGACAGAGTTTATTTTCATACGCAACTGGGAAGAAGTCAGTACAAGAAACAAAGAAAAGCTGTTATTTTCATCTGAGCAACTTCCATTTKTTCTGAGCAGGATTTTCCACTCTGTACCCATATGGCACTGACAAACAAGCTAACCTAATGACACTTCACTGTTTTTTCAGYCACTAACTTTAATTACACATATGTGGAGTTTAAAGTACTGTGTGACCCTTTTCCCACACATAATATTTAGTCAGAATTTCTATTATGTTAATAATTTCAAGGTTCAGTAATTCACATGATCATTCATCCAGATAATACTGACATGCATGTTCAAATTAAAATAAACTTAACTTTCTTTTRCGAGCATTGCTGATTTAAAGGCTAAGTTGGAGTGGTCTCCTCACAAAAGCCAGGGTAAAGCCAACATATTTAATGAAGTTCCCTTACCTTTTTTCTTTGGAAGTTCACATCAAGTTTCATTGAGGCGCACTTGTTCAGTGTGTTCAGTCGTCTGTAGGGCAAAGCAAATGCAAAAGATTAGCAGCCTCTGAACTAAAGGGCATGATTTTTTTGCAGGTTCAAATTCTTTTCTCTTATCTTCCTGTAGGGTGCCAGCTGCATACAACAGCTTCGGAAAGGATACTGGTCATCTATTCCAGATGTATGACCACTGCATGAAAAGGGAATCTAAGCTTCACTTTTACTTGATAGCCAGGTTTTATAGATAGCTTTTTAATTCATGGACATTTCTGTACTTAGCAAARGAAACAGGTATGAGCAAACACTTGTGATAGTTGGGGAAATGACAAGAAGGAGGTGAGTTGCCTTATGCAGGACTGTAACATAATTGGTCTAAAATGGGGATATTTCAAAGAACTGCTGAAAGACCAAACAAAAAAACAGATACAGCTCCTCACTTCTGGCAGTTGGCACCTCCTTGAAAAAGTTGACATAAAGAACTTCTAGCTGTTACTTAAAAATTTCCCAAAAGTCAATAGCTTCTTTTCTTCTATCTGTGGATCTTATACATAGGTTAACACACCCAAYATGCAACGAATCTAACATTTTAAAATAAATATTTTTAGTTACTTTTAACCATGTTCATACCGATGTTATCAGAATCTCTGTAAGGCTTCTGCTCTTTAAATCCAAGGCTATCCTGTGATGACTGAGGTGAAATGACAATCTGTGTGTGTGTGTGTGTGTGTGTGTGTGTGTGTGTGTGTGTGTGTGTATATGCGTCCATGTGCAAGGACAGCCAGAGGACAAGTAAACATGCTCTTTAAATATAGAAACTACTGTGGTAATGATAATTGATTTGGCTTTATATATACGTGAAGATCTTGATCAGTAAAACCACAGAACTTCTAAAAGTAGAGGCAGTTAAATATCTTTGACTTAGAAAGGTTTCCAGATCTAGGGCTGAATTTCAAAATAAAGAGAGCCAGAGTGAGAGAGCCCTGTGTCCACAGCACTTGTCTGCCTGCCTCTTCTGTGTCTTTATAGCAAGATCTGCCTCTGTTGCTTCTGGGTCTTCAGAGAGAGGCTACAGTTTTGCAGTACTGATAATTTCAAATGTGCATGATAAATTACAAGGACAGAAGAAACAATTATCAAATCAATAATATAATCTCTCACATAACATAAGAACATAATGGCATTAACATATTCGTCTGCAGAATTTCTAATATTAGAATACTTTTCAAATTGCTACTGCTAACAAAGAACCAGCCCACCAAATGTGGATCTTCCTTAAAAAAAAAAATCCCTCTCAAAATATCACCTGCTCATTTGTAGTTTAAATACTCCTCCCTAACTCAAGCTAATAAATCTGTTATGCCATATCAGAAATGTCCTGTGCTCATGGTATTAATTAGGGCATAATGTATGCACAAGCACACCCTGCATGCATGATAGCAATGTTGAAATAAATTCCAGGGTTTGTGGCTGTGCAGCTATATCGTCAGCCTGATGCCCACAAATCATCTTCCGGAATTACATCTATGATTGAAAAACTCATCTTTTGCCCAAACATGGAATTTCTCAACCCAAAGTGGCATTTCTTGGGGCCCTGGGGCAGAATAATGTTCAGAGCTTCTTTTGAGCACAACGTATTTAAGTGTGCATATGGATATCAATTCAAGTATACAGGGGCACAGACACATTTTCAAAGGACTCCAACTTTCTATCTTTAGGAACAGCTTCCTCTGAATATTGGTGAATGTTGGCTAATATTAGAGTCCCTGCACCTCTCTGTCAGCTGGTCTGTGCTGAAGGGACAAGTCTGTAGTTACATTTCCACACTTGCTCCACCAAAACCAAAACTACTTTTTACTGGGTGCCAGGGACTCAAAAACTCAAGCCCAGGTTTTAAGTTCACTCCTCTACAAAATACTGGTATGCTTTCTGGGGCTCTTCCAATGCTGTGGAAAGATTTGCCAGTGAAATTAAAGAACTTATGATCATATTTGTGAGTTTGTCTGGTCCTAATAGCTCAAATCAAAGTCAGTCTGTTTCAACTTCTTTTGCCTTGTTGCTGTGCCAGCAGTGGCAGAAAGCTTTTCTCATCAGTTTAAAGTCGTCAGATGACTGACAGCCAATTCCTCAGCAAGTCTTTTGAAAAGAAAAAATCCAGAAGTTTCTGGCTACAAAGGCTGTCCCAATGTCCCAGTTGAAGTGAGAGAAGCACTGCACTTTTACACCACTGCTTAAAAACATGGGAAAAGACTGCTTGTTTGCAATGTTAACAAAACACAAAGTCTGGGCTTGAGAAAATGCAGGGAAAAACACACTAAATAAACACAAGAGAGGTGGTTATATAAAAATCAATTAATTAGGATGCATTTGAAATTGTATCTGGAAATTTATGCAGTACCTAGGGAAAGACTGCAAAAAATGTACTACAGCAAGTGTTTCAGTGATGTTAATTTTATTGCTTCTCCAGAGCATCACAGGTAAATGCTGCCTTGATGGTTTAACACTTCGAAATAATTCTTAAAACATCAGCAGAGATATTCAGGTGCCCAAACAGATGTTTCTGGTGCTATTTTAGATTCCCTGGACTATCAAGCCTGGCCTCCAGCTGCTGCAGGTACCTTGGTCCAGTCAACTCAAGAAGTTTGGGCTATCTGAGGAGATTTAAGATGGCCATAGACACAGGTTCCTAGGCCTCCAAATCCCAACCCCAGTGAATCCTAACCCTGAAATGGTTAGCTCTTAAGATAGAAGTTTTTCAGAAGCAGGAAATCTCCAACTTTTGCATCATTTACAGCACTGAGCAGTGTTTACAAGTAAATACAAGTTTATAGCAATGCAGGCTCAGGCCAGCTGGAAAATCTTGTAGGGGACCTGCTGTCCTGCTTGAAGAACAATCCAAATAATAGGGAGACACCTCTGAAGCGAGTTCCAGAAGGATCCCTGGACCTGCTCTGCAGCTGGTTCCATGCAGGTGCTTTGGAATGCAGCAGGGGCACAGGCCAGTCATGAATGAGGAGGCGTCAAGGTGGGGACTAGCATGGACAGCACAGTGTTTCCTACTTCAGCTGATCCAAAAATGTGCTCTCTTACGGCTCATGACCAGGAAAACATGTTAAATGATTCCATAAATACCTCTCTGAGGGAACCACAACACTATTTTCTTGCTTTATTGTTTTTCCTAGCCAAGCTTAGGTGCTGCRCGCACATCCTTATCCGGCTTCTTCTGGTGTGGTGGACTTTGGGAGGAAGACATCAAGCTCCTGTTGCTGGGATTTACCAAGGTCTTTACACTGAGTAAGAGTCCCCTCAGTACCATTAGGGCTGGTGTGCATGACCCTGCTGCACCAGCTCTGTGTGTGAAGAGAAAACACTGTTTTCCAGTCTCACCACCTTCTTAAAATGGCTGCCACTGAGAGACTTACCTTGTAGGCCCCAGGCACATGTGAGATGAGAAATCTCTCCTGGAAGTCAGTGGGAGCCATTCCACTGCCTCCAGAGTGGGGCTTTCTGTCCTGCATGTGGAGAGGCAGGCTTATCTCCCAACAGCAATGAGAGCGAGATAACTGTGCAGGTGGGACTGGCTGTAAAGCCCTCATTTCAGAGTTCTGGGGGGAGGACATCCCATGCCACACAACCACCTTGGCTTAGTTTACAAGCTGTCTAAGAGGCAACAGCTATGGGGAAAAAGACTGCTGACTGCTTGGCATAGTTCAAATTTTAAGAACTTGGTGCAGGAGACTATGTATCAGGCTGTTACCTACATGTTCTTCACATTCTTAGTCACTGTATTTACATGTACACAAAAAGTACAACGTGGCTCGGCTTCTTCTTCTCAYCCTCTTATCACAGCAGCCACAAAAGTTCCCAGAGCAGAGTTGGTTGCTGTTATTTTGGAAACGACACTGAGATCCAGCTATAAAATTTTCATGCCCAATTATTATTTTGGCAGGCTGACAGCATTTGCCTTCAGATTGCCTGGCAATTCTCTATTGTTCATTATTCAATAAAATCTGAGTGGAATCTCTTGATAGATACGCCTCTAACCCAAAGGCCTCAAATTTGGTTTTTACGCTGCCAAATTTGCTAATTATATTGTAAACAGCAGGGATGATAGAATATCTCAAAAAGGTCACTGAAATCTTTTACAACAGGGAGTCTTACACTTTCTGACTAAAGTATTACCTGCTGCCTTAAAAAAAGGTCCCTCTTCATTTGTGCCTCACGTTGTCTGGTATATTGCAATGCCATAAGAAAACTGATTATAAAATGAGATTGAGAGTCTGATTTAGCCCACAAGAGCAGAGAAATTCAGTGTGTATGCTATTACCATTCAGATCTAAAACCGCTCAAACTGATTATCCATGCTGGCATTTCAGCTTTGAAATTATCTTTCTGCCAAAAAAAAAAACAAAAACACGAGAAGCCCATTTTGTTCAGTACTATGGGCTGAATGCATTGTTAGTGTGATGGCTTGTTCACGCATAGCTTTGAAGGCAGCTTTGAATGTCTGAAGAATGGAAGTTTGACTGCCAACCTGGGAATCTGTGCACACAGAAATAATAGCCAGCCTATTTTGAACCTTCTCTTTCCTCAAAATACATCACAGCTGGCAGCTCTCATATGGTACACCAGCTACCTTGCAGTAATTCCATCACAGAGCAAGGAAGGGCAGAGAACAGGCCACAGTGGTCAGCTAAGCTTTGAGGATTTCCAGTGTGCTGGAAAACTTGGAAGATGCTGGTTTGATAGCCAATAGAGTAACCAAGCCGGTACTGGGGGCAGCAGCTGACACTGTTCACTCTTTCTTATGAACGTGCATCTTGGCATTTGGTACAACGGCTTTTTATGGTTCGCTTTCAGAGAAGGGTTTGAAGCTGCTGAGTTACATCAAATTAAATGTCTGCAACCTGAAAATATAACCTGTACATAATACTTGTATTTCTAATATGAGGAGATATATATATATATTTAGATCTAAGCTGTTTAAAATCTCCTAACAAAAATTAAACAGGTTTGACTTCTGAATAAAATAATTACAGAAAAACTTACTAAAGAGTCATAAATCCATTTATTTTTAAAGTGTGGAAATATCGGTGCCTGTGCTTATTTCTAGGTCTTATCACTATCACTTAATTTAGGCTAATGTAAAGCATTTTCCCCCACAAGTGTATCTACCCAGCTGCTACTTATTTTTCCAAAACCTCGTATTTTAATAAAAGAGAAAAATATCCCCAAACCAAGTCTCTAGCTTCCCTGCYTGCAAAATAATTCTCATAAATATATCAACATAGTGTTACTGTAGGTGTATCTGTGAGTCTTCAGAGAGGTTGGAAGAACAAGAGATGAGCTGATCCCATTTTTAGGTGTGTAGGTGTTGGATGCCTGGTCACCATGATTCTAGCACAACCATTAACATTTACTCCAGAGAAAAATGACTGGGGAGGGTCACAGAGCTCTGAAATCACTGTTCACCCTCATAAGAAAGCAACAGGAATAGACATAACACTTGCATTTTTTATTGGTCCTTCAACTTCGTGGTAAAGGGCAGAGGAGAAGAGATCACAATCTCTTATCTCTATCACTTTCCAGTWCCCTAACTGCAGCAAGGTATGTCTTCCATCACACCAGACTGAAGCAGCGGGATGTACATATGTGTGGGAAGAATGTTTCTTGGGCAAGGGCATAGCAATCTCTATCACCAAGCAGCACAGAACAGCAGTGGATCAAATCTACAATTACTCTGTTCCCCGGCATCTGTGAGAGAGACCACAGGAGGATCCAAGTCTTTCCTACTGATTTGTCCTCACACAAAGGCTACTACACCGTGAAAGGGAATATTCTCTTCCTGACAGCCACAACAGACACCATGAGACGCAATAGGTCTCACTTCAGAAAAGCAATATGACAGCTATGTCCAGAAACTACCTGGATCCGCCAGGAAGGAGGGCATAGCTTGGGGTGGAGAAGTGGACTCAATGAAATTTCTTCCAGCCCTATTTTTGGTGATTCTCAGAAACCTTTTCTGCATTCCTCCATCACAGACTCATTAATCATTGAAATGCGCAGTATGATGTGGAACAGCATCTCCTAAAGCCATCTCTGATGACTTTAGCCACAGCTGCAGAAGGGGAAATAGGGTCTTGTCCAATTATCCTGATGTTGGTGTTGTGAAAGTTTCCAAAACATGTAATAAAGCCTTGGTTAAGGCCCAGATACTCCTTTGTCGTTACTTGAAGTTGAGAGAAGCAGAACCCAGCTCGAGCTGAGCATAGGGGAAAGAAGAAGGGAACAATGCCTCTGCAATGTGGTTTTGCAAAACTGCCACAGAATTGCTGTGTCTTGAGTCCTGGGGGAAAGGACTTGAGCAATGCAATACGGTACATTCACAGGCAGAGCACAAAAAGCAGGATAAACAGCAAGCACAGGAAGGACAAAGCAGGGGCCAGCTGCAGCAGCTGCAGCACTGGGGTCTGCAGTACTGGGTCTGGTCCCACTGCTGTCACTGCGGCTGAACAAGAGTACTAAGGGAATCACAGCAGCATGAAAATGGTGTCTGCTGACAGAGAAAGGGATTGCTGAATGCTGTGCAATGGAGTTTAATCTTTTTTTTTGCTGGCCTTAGACGTAAGAGTTATTAATCTGCAACTCAGATGTGACTCTCATTTACTCAGGGTGTGCTTGCACTGCTGCTAGCTCTTAAAAAGCATTGTTTCAAATCCATTGGATTTATGCCTGCTCAAATCATGTGATGCTTTCTGTGAGTGCAGCAGGTGTCCTACTGCAGCATTTTTTGTGAGTGAAATTAACTCAGAATGGTGGCACTATAGATCTCATCTCTTAATTCACCTGGACAGGCAAAAACCTCTACTGCTGCTATGCTAGCAGTTAAAAATCAGCTCATGCTTTTAAAATCAGCTCATGCTTTTAAAAAACTTGGGGTGTTATTTACCTGCAAAGAGGTTCTACAAGGTCCTTGTCAAGAAAATCATGATCTTTCTTTACTGCAGCAATGTCAATGGGAAACTGGGAGTCTGTAAAAGGAGACATAATATTAAGAAGCTGTTTGCTATTCAAATGAAAATACATTGTCCACAGCTAAATTGCTTTGCATGTGCTTGCTTACTGAAATCTAGTATGACCAATTTCACTCAGCTCTGATTCCCTTCTAGCTGTATCTGTGACCCTTTCAAACATCTAATTTTTTTTTTCTGTTAAAGGTATAGCCRAACGTCCAGTGCATTACAGTGAGAGCAAAATTATTTCATTTTGGCTTTTAAAAAAATACTCAATTGTTCATTCTAGCACCTGGCACAAATGARTGAGATCAGGGAATTAATCACCACATTTTCTTTATGTGCATGAGCAACAATGTTTTCCTTTCTCATTAGTGTGACTTAGTGTGTTATTTGCTAGACAGACTTTACCCAAGCCCCAGAAATATTCTGTGATTTTTGCTTTAAAAACAGATCCAAATAACAATGATTTTCGACAGAGGGTTGCTCAAATAACAGACAGAAAAAAATAAGCTGAATTATAATCCCCACTATTAGTTAAAAAGCCAGAATAGTTTGCTGCAGGCTGACATTTATACTGAGAAGTGACATGGCTCTGTGATGGTGSGATGGGTTTCAGCACTGTGGCTGCTCTCCAGACTGCTCTGCCATGCTTAGGTACCTCAGCAGGATGCTGGGATACAGGAATTTCAGCCAGCATTTTCAGACACTACTGCACAACATTGACATAATAGATGCCTGTGAAAAGCACCTTGTTTTCAGCGACACAGACTGTCTAGAACACACTGACTACAGGGAACTCGTGGAGCCCAGCACAGGTTGTTCTTTTGGAGAGAGCATCCCTTTGAGCTAAGCAGGCAGCAGATGCTCCTTTCTCAGGGGGAGTCAGTATCTGACATACTCCGAATACAAAGCAAACACAAAAGTACTACTGGCTGTCCAGGGACTGTGGTAGACACACATTTGTGTCAGTTTTGGTCTGTCAAGTTATTAGTCTGAGTTCCTTGCTGGATTTAACAAAGTCCTCCTGCCTCCTCTGGAGCAGGTCTGAATAGTGCTCCTGGTCCCAGGCACCTGAGCAGCTCAACAGGACCCAGCACCTAAGCCCTCATGGACTTCAGCTGGCCATGGGGGTGTCCCCAGCATCCTGCTCCCCAGCACCCTCAGCCCCACACTAGGGAAGGGAGGRTGCCCAAGCTGGCTCCCTGCAGACTTGACTCTGACCCATGAGGCTTCTTGGCCCTCATTCCAAGTGTGGATCCATGCTGCCTCCAGGCTCAAGCTGATCCTGGAAGGTGTCCAGAGGTGTTTGGAAGAGCTGTTTCGGCTAATAAGCGCGAGCGGGCCTGAGCTGGCTCTGTGTCTCTGGCAGGGAGAATACACAGTCTGGGAAAAACGAGGATTAGCCACAGCTTCCCTCTCAGTGCTGAGCTAGGGAGARCGGGAAAAGCCCTGCTCCAGTCCCCAGACTACTTATGAACACAGCAGCAACACAACCCGTCACCCTGCCCTTGGGGACACTGCTTCCCTGGGCACGAATTTTATACCCAGGAAGGGGACACCAGCATTTGCAGTGATTTGCACTGCAATATTGTCATTTCTTACTTTGCATATGTGAAATGCAACTCATTCACTTTTGGTAACTCTGCAGTKTTAAATCTTATTTTCAGCATGATTGAACTTTTCAATAACTTCTAGTGTTTTAATCTTATTTTAGACACAGTTCAGAAAGTTTTTAAGAAAAAGGCTCATGTTTTTTCAGATTTTGTACTTGTTTTTTATTAACCTTTGAGATTTACACAACCTATGTCCCTCTATGTACCTTTTTTTTTAACCTCCCATGGCTACAAGGGTAAGAATCTTACTTTTCTTTATGAACTGGTATGAGCCCAGCAGCTGAGGCTTTGTGAAGCAGCCAGCCATGGCCATAACTCAGTCAAATGTGGAGTTGGCCAACTGCAAGCTCTCCTGGCAAGGGCCCAGTGCACTTTCAGAACCACACAAAGGGGAGAAAGACCTACTTACCCTCATAGAACTGAGCATATTGGGGAAATCCAGCTGCACGTAACCAGTCACACGCTTCCTTTGCTTCGATTTCTGAGCAAAAACAGAAAAGAGAAAGAAATTCACACTCTGTTCTTTTGAATAAGAAGTTCTTTTAGTTACAAATAAATAAGAGAGAAATTTGGTAGTATCTATTTGCTACTTAAAGTACTGTCATCACTCAGAAGTGTTTCTTTATAGTATCAGAAGAGTCCCTCTAGGAAATGTGCCTGTCTCCACAGGACCCCAGGGTGCACTTAGCCCCTTGGTGGCTGAGATGAAGTGCTAACCATCACTTTGCAGCAAAAATTGCTCTGCCAGGTTTGTGGTTCTGTGATCTACCCCTCCCCAAGGGTAAGTTGTTGGTGAGAGGGAAAGATGGAGCAGGGTGAAAACAGGATGATAGGGAGCAGGCACTGCACTCTCTCCTGTTCTGCCATTTCTTGTGGAGGAGAATGCCACATGAAATCCATGGACAATTCTGCCAGGAAAAACCCTGGTGTCATGATATTGAAAGGACAACTGCAGGGGCACCTCTATTTTTACCAAGCTCCATGGGCTCATTTTCTGGAAAGCAGTGTGCTGGGTCCAGCCCTGCCCAGCACCCACACTGCCTGCACGTGCAGCTGCTCCCGGACCAGCTGCAGGAACAACTGGAAACAGAGGCTCATCCACACAAATGTGGGTATCAGGGGAAACATCTCCTTGCTGTCCAAACCCAGATCAGAATCTATCACTTGAACAGTTTAGGCTTATAAGATCAGAGTCAAAAGCACATATCTTGCACCTCTCATATTTGCAAAACACAAAGAAACAGAGCATGCAGGTATTGAAGGTGGACATTTTATGTTGCTCATTAATCAACCTGAATGAACCAGTCAAGAGTTTTAGCACATTTGTGGTTGTAARATCTAGACAGCCATAATACAAATCCTAACTATAAGGCAAGCAATGGARCTGGAAGAAGATGATCAGGCTCAGTTATTCATCTGTATAGTTTTGCCTTTCATGTGAAAAAAGTCCTGTTGTAAATTAGTTTTCTACTAAAATGCATTTTTCTAGGTAGAAAATGCTAGCGTGAACTTTTGCCCATGTAATTCTGTTCAGATAAYTCATCACACCCTTAAAGACTTCACCTACTGAAGCTCCCTATAAAATCTGCTTTGAATATACTCTGCACTGTGACCCACACACCTTTCTGATCCCTAAATAATGAATCACACCAGCAAACTTTGGAGCAGAAATCAAAATTCCGAATACAAGGTCTATGTATCAAAGCTCAATTTCTCAAAGATGATTAGACAATCAGGAAGAGCTCTACAATGGTCATAATCATTAGCAGTGCTGAAAAGGATTTACCACAAGGTCTTCATTTGCTATGACATTAGTTCATGTCAAGGCCAAAAAACAGAATATGAAAGTACATTTCGTTCTTGACACTGCACAAAGAATAAGCAGCTTACATAAAACATGGCTCTCACTGTSAACATCTGTGTGCTGAAAGCACATCTCTATTATGTTCCAGTTAGACTGAGCATTTCTATTAAATGCTTGGAAAAAAAGGCAAGTCCTTATACTTTTTTCTTTTGCCTAATTCAATCTCATGAAACACAGATGAATCAATCCCATTTCAAAATGAATTTTACAACTGAGAACAGCTGTACGTACATTCTAGCTTCATCTGGCCTGGAAACACAACTGACAGAGGTTGTGGGTGATGGAGAATGTGACCATTTAATGCTCTCATATGCTTATCATATTTCAATGTTTTTTTGCAGTTGGATCTTCAGAGGATCTTGCTGAGAAATATTCCTGCAGCCCAAATAAGATCTCAAAAATCTCAGGTTGCAGTGGGTAAGTAATTATAGGGAGTAATCAAGAGAACAGATCTCACTCTTTTCTACGGTTTTGGTTTCAGTTTTTTTGGTGGTGTTTTTGGTGGTTTGGTTTCATTTTTTTTWAATTTCTTTTTTAATTATGCTGTTTGCAACACACTGTATTCAGTCAAATATCATTGACTGATTAACTTTTACCTTCAAAACTTTGACTCTATCTCCTCCATGAAGGCATCTGTGGGGGGTATTCTCATTTTCTGAATGACTATTTCAGCCGTGAGCAACATTTGCTGAGCTTCCAGGATCCTGGGTCTCAAGGATCAGTGTCCAGTACCCTCCCACATCTCTCTTTTTGGTCATATTCAGAGAACAACAGGAGGAAAGACATGCAACATACTGTTGGCACAGCCCAAAACATGACTTTGCTCATACAAGTGTATTTCCACTGGCTAAGGGCACCTGTTCCAGCCMTTCTCCTCTTGGTCACCCCTACAGTTCAGGTGAAAAGGCACATCTAAGGATTCACTCATCAACAGACATCAAAGTTGATTCATACTATCTTGTCCTGGGCATGTAATCCAACTCATATTTCAGAATGCAATACAGATGCTTTTATTACTGGATACTGCAATGTTGGAAAAATAATCTGAGATGCTAAGTTTAACCTTCTCTTTTTGGGCCTATATCCTAATATTTGCCTTTTCTTACTTGCTAGTGGAACATTAGTGAAGACTTATTTGGGAAGAGAGGTGTACAGCACTAAAAAGACCTCACTGAAGGTGTCAATGAAGGGCAGTAGAAATACTTTCGGCAGTGTTGTCCCAGTTCTCTACCCATGTCCAAGCTAACACAGGGGTCTGATCCTGCCTACAGCAGATGTACAAGAAAGTCAAACCACTGGAACAGTCCTTTCTCACATGAAGGAGCACAGGAGACTGTTCTAAAAAGTTGTTTAGAGAAAAGTATTTATCAAGAGAAAACCATGTAAGTAAATTAATTTTTTAGCTTGGAATCTTATCACCATCTACAAACATCAATGCTAAGATCTAGTTACCATAGTCCTTGCCCTTTTCCTATCTAGATATCAGTATTTCATCTTATTTCTGCTTTTTGCCACTGTTCCTGTCTCTTCTGCTTTGGTTTTTCTTCCTTTTTTTTAAACTACATTTTAATTTAAAATTCAGATGTTCCTTTGCACAACACAGTGAAAGATTTAGCAGCTAGAATAAATAAGGTACATAATTACCCCATCTATTGTGTTTATGCCAACTTTATGTGATAACCTTTACTATTCATCTGTCTGCAACAAATCACTGTTGATGTTCAATTTTGTATTCCCCCTGCATTGCTCACCACTTAAATTGAATTTATTAGACTCGGGTGAAATATCTGGTAGTATTAGAGAAAATGTTTAATCRATTAATGGGAAAGGAATGCATTTTACTGTGCAGGTGGTAAGTCTGTTGTTACTAACCAAAGGTTATGTCAACTTTTGGTCCTTATCTTGCTCTTTCCTTCAATAAAAGGAAAACTGTTGGGATGACAGTTGGTGCTGCACTTTCCATAACAAAATCTACCTGGCATTCTAGGGTCAGTTTGGAGGCTCAGCTCAACCCAGGGTTGCAAAACACCTTAACTCTGAGGAATTGCTCAGGATTTTACTCTCAGAACCTCTGTGAAAGGTAAACCAGAGAACACTCCTGGGGAAGAAACAGTGATGGTGTCTGAKATCTGAGTGACGCTCCAGGTGGCTGTAGGCACTGAGACAGCCTTTTCTCACAGGTCCTGCTGCATCCCTCATGTCCCATAAACCTGTCAAGTCACCAGCAAGTAATGTCACCATCCCGATGTCTTCCCAGAAGAGCGCTCATGAGGGAAGATAGGATCTTTAGGCAAGTTCAGCTCAGGCTGAAGCTACATGAGAACAGCTCTAGCACATTTCTTCTAGCAAGTTCCTTCTTGCAGCCCCCTCTGAGACACGTCAGTGGCTGCAAATACTCTCCTGCCCCAATATCTCAGTCTTTAAAATACTTATCTTTGTAACCCCTTGTTTCTCAGAGGGGGATTTAAAGCACTTCAAAAGTACACAAGCAGGTTAGAGGTAAGATTGATGAGAATTAGGTGCCTGACACTTATCTGGTCATAAAAATAGAGCTGTATCACTCCTCTGTTACTATTACCCTTAGAAATCTGGTCTGGACAATTCAAATTTCAAATTTCTGATACTGAAATGCATCACTCTACCATCCCTCAGCTACAATGTAACACTAAAGGATGATAGGCTTCCACTGGGTGGCATTTGAAAAGCTTCTTCAGAGCTAAGAAATTAGATTACTGGAGGGTGTAAAGGTGTAAATTGGAAAGAACAAGAATTTGTTTGCAAATAAGAAAGAAGATGACTTTTCAAGTCACATAGGAAATTTACAGCAAAACAAGATTTCACATCTGAGCCAACTGGTCTAGTGAAAGGTGTCCCTGTCCACAGCAGGGGGTTATAACCTTAAGGTCCCTTCCAACCAAAACCATTCTACGATTTTATGATTCCATGATCTACAGCTTGCAAGTATCAAGTTAATACCTTAATTACTGCATTGTCATTTCACTTCATCAGTGCAAGCAACTGGTGTAGAACATGGAAAAATGTAAAACTTGTCATATTCCGTAAGGAAAAAGCACAATTTAATAATGATGGACACAAATTTCAGTAACCTTTCATGTTGCATTGTACCTACCAGAAATCCTTAAAAGGKGAAATTTCAAAGCTTTATTTGTAGGATGGCATACATTTCTGTGCAGAGGATATTGGTTCTCTTAAGTTACTTAGTCTTTTGGCATAATTTCCTGAGAACTCCATTACAGGGAATGCTTTTAAGTAGAGGTATAATGGTTTACCCCATTTCCTTCCACTCTGTAGGACTTTACTGGAATAATTCCAATAATACCATGCAGCTTTAAAATTACCATTTATAGCATAAATATATAAAAAATAAAATAAACCATAAGTATACAATGAATTTATATGTTTTACTGCATTGTGGTGCATAGTCTTCAATAAATCCTGATAATAAGGTTTTCAAAAGTGGAATTTCATTGGAATCATTTTATATCATGCCATATAATTACTGTTAGAGACAAGGTTATGTTTTGCAAGGAAGGGACAAATAAAACTGTCAAAGTGTTATTTTAATAGTCCTTAACTTTACATGGAATATTGTGGTA